TTACCTGTTGTCTTCATCAGCATCATAACCCTACAGCTGTCCTCTCCTTTTTCATCTGCATCCTCACCTACATCCTCACCTGTTATCATCATTCCCTTCATTCCTCATCCACAGTTCACTCTGTCCATCTACTATCTCATCTGCATTTCCTTTTGTCCTCTAGGTTCACCCCACCCTCCCGATCCTCACTTCCTCAATGGGCCTGAGCAGATTCCTCAGTGCTTCTGTAGGACCCAGCGGGGTGGCTGTGGCTGTAGCCGAGAGGGGGTGGTAAGGGGGAGAGGGAGGGTGATATTTCCGGCTGGAGCCCCAAGTGAGTGAGGGGAAGGCATGAGTCAGCAGTTGAAGAGCGTGCAGGAGCTATTTAGGTCACAGCAGCAGCAGAACGGTGTGTGGGGGGTTGAGGTGGGGATGGCAACCACTAGGTTGAGTGGAATTACTGGTTGCAAAGTGAAACTGGTGCCCAAAGGCCTCTTCTAACTTCTAGGTCCCCAAGGACTGTTGAAGGTGGGATCCGAGCTCAGGGCTCTGGGTCAGGCCATCAGGAAAAAAACCCCTTCAGCCTAGAAGTCATCCCAGCACAGCCCCCTTCCCCAAGACCCCCAGGTCCTAGAAACCTTCACCTCCCACTTCCAGAACTAAGGGAGGGACACATTCATGGTTCACCCCTGCTTTCTCCAGCCTCCAGTTGCCAGAGACTTTGGTGGAGGGGAGACTCAAAGACCCTCATCACTCACTAAGTGTCCCTGTAGACATCTGCTAACTTCCCCTTCCCCCAGCTTATGTCTGTCTTCTCATTTCTTTTCTTGCTTATTTCCCCTTTCTCCTGCCTATTTTCTTCATTTCTTTAAAGCAAGGGTTTTGTTGGGTTTGAGCACCTATGGTTCTAGGCTGTGAACAGCACAGGCAGGAGCTGAGGGCACTTCCATTGTGATGACAGCATGGAGTTGGTTTCAGACGGTGAGGGAGGGAGAACAGGGCACCGTGAGGAGGTGTCCCGTGGTGGGGCCACCAGTAAAGTTCACTTAGATGGGGGGATGGTTCATGTCATGTTTGGGCTTAGCTAGGCCATGGAGACCCGTCGCTTGGTGAAACACCAGCTAAATGGAGCTATGAAAGTGTCTTTTTAAAAATGGGATTCACACCTACAGTCAGTTGACTTTAAAATCAGTTTACCTTTGATAATGTGGGTGGGACTCATCCAGTCAACTGAAGGAATGAAGAGAAAAAATTCAGATTTCCTGTGGAAAAAGGAATTCAAGACTGTAGTATAGAACTTCTGCCTGAGTTTCTAGCCTGCGGATTGGAGACTGCAGCATTAGCTCAGCTGCTTCTCCAACTTGCTGGTTTGTCCTGTGGATTTCAGGCTTGCTGAGCCACACAATCGCATGAGCCAATTCCTTAAAATAAATCTCTCTCTGTCTCTCCATATGTATTAGATACTATAGATTAAATATAGACATAAGTTGGATATAGATTAGGTATAGATATAGCTATAAACAAGATACAGATACATAGATGTAGATAAATTATTGGTTCTGTTTCTCTGGAAAACCCTGCTTAATACAGGTGGTCAGAGGAGTCTCCAGTGAAGAGGGGGTTCTTGACTTGGGACATGGATGACAAGGAGGATCTGGGAAGGACTGTTCCAGGCAGAGGGAACAGTAAATACAAAGGCCCTGAGACAAGATTCTAGGTGGGCAAGTGCATAAGGCCTTCAAGTTAGTGACAGCCTCTCAGGGTCCATTCTAAGCTCAGGGGAAGGCAAACTTTTTCTTTAAAGGGCAAGATAGTAAATATTTTATGCTTTGAGGGGGTTATAAGTAAAATTGAAGGTAGTATGAAGGTACTTCCACCCTGCCATACCGTTTGCTTGGGATGGGCCCCCGGGGTGGTGGGCGTGATCTGCACCTCGCTGCTAAATACGTTCTGTGGGTGAAGAGCGATCCTTCTGAGGCCTGGCAGTCTGAGCAGGTGGGGGAATGGGGAAGGGGTGACCCTCCAGGCCAGTGTCCCTTTCTTCTCTGGATCTCAGCCAGCCTCTGTCCCAAGGCCCAGCTGTCTCCTCTGGTTAGCTGGCCAGAGGCAAGATGGCAAGTTGAGTCACCCACCCCCAGAATGAGATTCATCCTCTTAGTGCCTGACAGTCACCAACGGAGGACAATCCAACATGTAGGTGGTGGCCAGCATGACCAGCACAGAATGTGGACTGTGACGGGGTTTCGGCTGCCGGTCAAGGAGGCAGAGTAGGGATTAGGGCACAGAGGAGGACACCTCAGCTATGTTTCTGCAGTTCTCTAAAGTTCCACCTCTGATACTGCACTGCACTGCATATTTGAAAGTTGCTCAGACAGTAAATCTTAAAAGTCCTCGCTACACACACACACCACACACATACACATACACACACACACATGCATGCACATACACAACCACATCTACTCACAACCGCCTTTTTTCCTTTTTTCACACTCTTGTACATACCTAGCCCAATCATAATCATGGTTCCGCACACAATAGTGTCCCTCATAACACATGCGCACACCAGTCACCCTGCTCCTGTGGATTTGGCCCATGGGCCATAGTTTGCTAATAAGCTCAATGGGAGGCCAGTGAAAGATTTTAAACAGGGGAGAGATGAGAGCTGCCTTTAGTGTTTAAAAAGCCATTTCACTCCTAGTTATGAACTCAGAAGAATTGAAACCTGGTACCCAGACAGCACACAGGCTCACAGCAGATTGATTCACAGTGGCCAAGAGGTGGAAACAACTTAAATGCACATCAACAGGTGAATGGATACACAAAATGTGGTCTGTCCACATCCTGGAATATTATTCAGCTATAACAAAGGAACAGAGCACTGACACTCATATCAGGGCACTGATAGCAGGTGGATGAACCTTGAGAACATTATACTCAGTGAAATTAGCCAGACACAAAAGACCACACATTGCATGCTTCCCCTTTTATGAAATATCCAGAACAGGTCATTCAGTAGAGCAAGAACACAGACTAGTGGCTGCCCAGGGGCTGGGAAGATTGAGGAATGGGAAGTGACTGCTTAATGGCTATGGGGTTTTCTCTGGGGACATTGAAAATGTTTTGGAACTAGATAGAATTGCACAACACTGTGAAGGTATTAAATGCCACTGAGCAGCTCACTTTAAAGTGGTTATTTTTATGATATGTGAATTTCACCTCAATAAAATAAAATAAATATACATAAATCAATAAATACATAAACACGATTACACTATCTAGAGGACAGAGAATGAATTATAAGATGGCAAGACGTAAAGAAGGATGTCCAGCTGGAAAGCACCTACAATAATCCAAGCAAGAAATGGTAGGTGCTTTAATGTGTTACTCCACTCAGGCTACTATAACAAGATGCCTTAGACTGAATGGTTTGAACAATAGATAATCATCTCTCATAGTCCTGGGAGCTGGAAGCCAGGATCAGGGTGCCCGGTTGGTCAGGTTCTGGAGAGAGTTCTCTTCCTGGCTTGTGGATGTTCACCAGCTCACTGTGTCCTCCCACGGGAGACAGTGTTTCTCTCATGTGTCATCTTAGGAGGCCAGCAATCCAATCACTAGGGCTCCACCCTCATGACCTAATTATCTTCCCAAAGTTCCACTTTCAAATACCGTCACACTGGAGATTAGGGCTTCGACATTTGAATTTTGAGGAACACAAACATTCAGTGCATAGCTCTTAGCTAGGGTTGTAGCAGTGGGGATGGAAACAGATGACTGAATTAGAGGCCTGGTCTGGAGGCTGAATCGCCAGGGTTTGCTGAAAGGTGGGATGTGGGAGACAAGACAAATGGAGTGTCCAGAATGACTCCCAGGCCCTTGGCTTATTTACCTGGCTGGATAGTGGCTCCACCCGTGACTTTGAGTTCCAATTAAAACTTAAAATGCACCTGACTGGTGTGGCTCAATGGGTTGGGCATCATCCTGCAAACTGCAAGGTCTCTGGTTTAAATTCCCAGTCAGGGCACATGCCTGGTTGCAGGCCAGATCCCTAGTTGGGAGTGTGAGAGAGGCAACCGATCGATGCTTCGCTCACTCTTTCTCCATCCCTTCCCCTCTCACTAAAAATAAATAAATAATTGATTTTTTAAACTTAAAATGCACACAAATACATGCATGCACACATGCATGCCTGCACCCGCACATCTGTGCACACACATGCACATACCCTACACATATGTGCATACATGCCCCAATGTGTGTGTGCACATGTGTGTACATTCTTGCACATGAACACACAACACACTTGCGAACACCCAGATGTGCACATAGGCACACACATTCTCTTTCCTGCACACACCTTCATGCACCTTATGCATGCACACATGCACACTTGCATACATATAACGCACACCTGCACACAGGTATGCATGCACACACAAGCATATACATACCCACCCACACACGCACACACACAAACCACTCTTGTATTTTCTATTAGTCTTATCACTGTCTAAGATACTATATATTATTTTTTTATTTATTGGACTCATTGTCTTCCTCCTTGGAAGGGAGCTTAGAATGGGAGCTCTGTAAGATCAGGGACTTTTGTCCCTCTTGTTTATGGCTGTGCCCCCAACACCTATAATGGAGCCTAGCACACAGGAGATAGTCAATTAATTAATATTTGGCAACCTAGTGAGCGAAGCAGCCGCAAGGGAAAGCTGGGGCCTCTGCTCTCCAGTCCCCACCTGAGTCACTTCAGCTGCTTCTGGAAAGTATGAGAGACTGTATGAGTGAGAGTGAGATGGGGCCAGCGGGGGTGTGGGGACAGGAAGAAGAGGAGGGTGAGGGGGAAAAGGGAGGGGCTGAACCCCAGCTCTAAAGGCAGCCCCAGGACCCACGGGTGCTTGTCTGCAGCGTGCGAAGCCCAGGAGCATTGGGCAATTGTGGTTTTCCTCCCAGCCCGCGGGACTGAGCTGCAGCAGCCTAGCCTGGGCGCTTGGGGCTTCATCGACACAGGCATGGAGGAGACAGTTGTGCGGCCTTCAGTGTTCGTCGTGGACGGACAGACAGACATCCCATTCAAGAAGCTGGGGTCCAGCCGCCGGAAAAACACCTGCAGTGCCGCCCGGCTGGGTCTGGCGCTCCTGCTGCTGCTGATGGTGGCCGGGATGGCCGTGCAGGGCTGGTTTCTGCTGCGGCTGCACTGGAGCCTGGGGCAAGTGGTCACCCAGCTGCCGGTAAGTGGGGCCTAGGGCTCGAGGCAGGCTGGTCTCCTGTGTCCCTGTGTGTCTCTCTGTGCCTGGGTGTGCCAGGCGGGGGAATAGATGCAGGGCAGTGCGGGGCAAGTTCATTCACCTCCTGGAGCCTCGATTTCTTCATCTGTAAAATGGGCATGAAAATAAGAGTGTCCACCTCAGAGGGACGGCAATATGGTATTGCTTGAATTGCGCCTGCGGTGTCTGGCACATGGCAAGCGTTCATCCAATGGAAACCAACATTCTTTTTTTTTTTTTAATTAACATTGTGGAAGTTAAAGGTGTACAAGACATTGATTTGGTACATTTATATTACAGTATGATTGCTACTGCAGTGGTAGCTAACATCTCTATTGAGTCACATCATTATTTCTTCTAGCTTGGGAACAATTAAGGTCTAGTTTCTTAGCAGGTTCAATGTTGATAAAACAGTTTTCTTGTCTGTAGCTTCTGAAACCAGTCTTCTGACCTTGGGGATTATTATTAGCCATCCCCAATCACTGTTGTTGAGATTGAGGCTTATCCACTTTGTCCATGTGTCTGAGAATCTCTCTGCATGTTTCCGGTTGGCTGTGGATGTGACTGTCTGCTGGCCACACCTCTGAGTCTGTGTTTCTCATGTCATGCCCATGTGGTCAAGACTTTATGTCCTGTGTCTCTAGGTCATTTCTCTTTGTGTCTGGATCTGGAGGCCACATGTGCGTGTCTGTGTGCCTACGTGGCCTGTGCTGCTGCCCTGTGTACACACAGCCCCATAGCCATGCACCTGCCTGTCCACAGCCCGTGGGTTGAGTTGTCTTTGTTTCTGGGTCTCTGTGTATCACAGACCCACCTGGACCCATAAACTGTGCATCCATGGGTCTGCATTTATGTGTGTCTTGTCATCGTCATTTACGTGTCCGGTGTCACTTGTCCATATCTACATGTTGGCATTTATGTCCACACGTCTATGTATCTTGAATATTATTTATTGAATAAACTTCTGTAGAGTGCTTATCACTATCACAGTGCCGAGCACTGTGATACGCTTTACATATATGGATTCATTGAATCCTAGGCAGGCACTCTTCATATGTCCACTTACAGAGGGGAAAACTGAGCCACCACGTGGCTGGGAGGTTCCTGGGGATGGCGGTGGGAGGGGGTCAAGTGCACGTGGCCCTGGGTGTGGACCTGAGGGTGATGTTGGACTCATGATCTGCATATGAGTGTGAGTGATGCCAGGGCCGGCCCCTCGCGTCCTCACCGTGGGCTCCTCTGCATTTTCAGGAACAAGATGCAGCATCCCAGGAGCAGCTGATCCAAGGTGAGTCAGGGTCCTGGTCCCCAGGGAGAAGCGTGGGATGGTTCCCACACTGCCTCACCCCCATTGCCCAATGGGATTTGCACAACAAACCCAAAGCCCCATAGCTGCCCCTCCCCTAAGCCTGAGAAGCAGAAGTTTGGGTCACTGTGGAAAGGGTGGGGTTGAAACCAAGAGGTGGACTTGGTGATTTTGGGGGAGGCCGGCCCTCACCCTGCACGCTGTCTTCACCACTGACTTCTGACTCTCTCTCCAGAGCGGAGGTCCCACCAGGCCAACCCAGCAGCACATCTTACAGGTGAGGGGGACCCCGGGTCCTGGCACGGGATGGGGACAGCGGGTCCTGGGGAGACCAGACAGACACACAATGTGTCAGAGTCATCATTCTTTCGTTCATTCAACATTTATTCAGAGTTGCCCAGAGCACAGGCACTGCCCAGGCCAATGTATCTCTGATTTTATTCACTGAATAAACCTGTAAGCAGAGCTCACTGCATGTCATACACCGTAATATGCTTTATACACATTAATTCATTAACTCCTAAGCAGGTACTAGCCATACCTCCATTTCGCTGAGAGGGAAACAGGCACACAGGGGTCGTAAGGCTGCTAGACCAGGGTGGGTTCTGCTTCCATTCCTTGATTCTGCCGCTTAAAAGTTTTGGCGCTTTTGTCAAGTCACTTAATTGCTTCATGCCTCAGCTTTCCCACCAGCAAGAGGGCAACACGATGAGGTGATATATAATAAGCAACTGCCTTCACTGTTCTCCGCCTCAGTGTCCCAACCTACAAGAGAGGATAAAGTAAATTAATACATAGAGGTAGAGGTTCAGAGAGGGGTGGGGATAGGCCTAAGGTCACACAGCGAGCGTGGGACATGTGCTGACCCGTCTGCTTTGTCTCCCTCCCCAGGAGCCAACTCCAGCTTGACCGGCAGTGGAGGCCCACTGCTATGGGAGACGAAGCTGGGCCTGGCCTTCCTGAGGAACCTCCGCTACCGCGACGGTGCCCTGGTGGTTGCCCGAGCCGGCTACTATTACATCTACTCCAAGGTGCAGCTGGGCGGCGTGGGCTGCCCGCAGGGGCTGACCAGTGGCCTGCCCATCACTCATGGCCTCTACAAACGCACACCTCGCTATCCTGAGGAGCTGGAGCTCCTGGTCAGCCGGCGGTCGCCCTGTGGACGAGGAACCAGCCCCCGCAACTGGTGGGACAGCAGCTTCCTGGGTGGCGTGGTGCACCTCGACGCCGGGGAGGAGGTGGTGGTCCGAGTGCCAGACGAGCGCCTGGTCCGACTTCGTGATGGCACCCGGTGCTACTTCGGGGCTTTCATGGTGTGAAGGAAGGCGTGACTGTGGATTGGATGGGGGTCTGACCGCAGAGGTGGCTCAGGAGACAGAGAACCCAGCAAGAAGGAACCTTGGAGGGTGTCCCAGGGACCCCAAAACTCAACAGTTGGGGAATCAGCAGGCACCACCAGGGGCCAAGAACCCAGCCACGTCAAGAGGCTGGAGACAGCGGTCACCTCTGGAGAGGACCAAAAAAATCGCAGACCCCGCCAAGGACAACACTGGAGACAAATACCCAGAGGCTGGAGGTCTGCAGGCTTCCAAATGGGGTAAAGGTGATCTGCCTGATATTCAGGAAGGAGGGACGGGGAGGGTATTTATGCTTCTGATTCTGAGGAAAGCGGGTCTTGTTGGGGGGGCGCGATTCAGGAACTTGGCTCAGGAAACATCGCCCTCCCCACTCTCACTAGTGTGGGTGGAAGGGGTGGAATTTATCACCCAGATTCATCCATGTGGAGAGCCCGGCCCCACCCATGGTCACAGCCACACTCATGTTCCCCCCACAGGCTTGTGGCCACACCTCATCCTGATCATACAAAGTTATGCTCAGAGGCCCAGGCACGGGGTGTGCTGGTAAATGTTTAACAACCAGCTCTTCCTGGAGGGCAGAGGCTTCCTAGAATTGGCCCATTCCAAGGTGTAAACGCTCCCACCGTGGCTGATTTCTGGCTACCGATATGTCATCATCTGCTGGCTGTATCCCGGCCCTGCTGAGCAGCCACATCCCGCTAGGATGCCACCGCTGTGCTTCGGTGCTCAGGCCAGGGGCCGGCACGGTGGGCACTCAGGAAATACTTGAAGAAGGAAGGGAGGGACGGAGGGAAGAGAGAGAGACAGAGACAGAGACAGGGGTACCTACAACATCGCAGAGAGTCACAGAGCTCCACAATCTCTCCCTTTCCCAATGACAGACTCCAGCACACAAAGCGTCCGTTTCTCACACAACCACATATACGTCATAGACAGCATCACAAACACTTGGTCACCGACACTTCATGACAACCACACATGACACATGACACAACACACAAGTCATCATCCCAACAGCAGTTACACACATGATCATCACATCAGACTTCCACACGCCGCATCGCAGTCGGACTCACCACACACACAGCATCACGGCAACGAGCACACGTCCCATACACACACACACAGCCTGAGGGTCCTCTCGGCCAAGACAAACACATCCTGGGATGAGGACCAGTCTTTGTTTGTAACCCTGGCCCCCTGACCACCAGTCTTGGAATAAAGGGCAAATGTTGCACCTGGGTCCATCTCTCCGTAGGGCCAGGGTGGCTAGCAGAGACAGAGAAATAGATGGAATGACCCCCACAGGTCACTTGATGGATAAGAAACCTGAACCCAGCAGGCTCAACTCCACGCAGGGAGCTTGGGGAAAAGCAGAGACCTCGTGCCTGGGTCTGCCTCCCCCTCAAATCCACAGTTCCTGAGGAAGCGGAGGCCACATCCTGCCCAGCGCCGTTATTGCAGACATGGGTACAGAGAGGCAGTCTGGAAGCGGGCAGTGATTGGGAGCTCGGGGAGAGTGAGGGCGGGGCGGTAACCATATGCATACAGATGGTCTGTACAAATGAACACATGCTTTGGTGTGGCTGCAGGGAAGTCCTACTTCTGAGGACCCTGGGATGAGGGCTCAGACCCCAGAGGTGAATAAATTATTATTGTTATTGATATTGTTGCTGTCGTTGCTCCCCAGTACAGAGGTGAAGGAAGCAGGCTTTTCAATTGGGCGGTCCTAGGTTCCGATTCCACTCCCCTACTTCCTGGCTCTGTGTGTTTGAGCAAGGCTTATCGCCTCCCCATGCCTCAGTTTCCTCATCTGTAAAATGGGAGATCACAACAGTCCTTGCCTCCTAGGTTTGTTGTCAAGATGAGGTCAGATCAGGTATAGAAAGAGCCATTTGGTGCGTCACCTGGGACCCAGTCCGAGCTCTGTAAGTGTGCGAGTGCCAACAGTGGTTCAGAAGTACTAACGAGCATTTCTCGGTCACTTTCCCTGGGCCAGACAACTCATGTCACATATTTACATACATGCCTGGGCAGGAGCTATTGCTGTCCCTGTGCTTCTGATGTAGAGACAGGGGCAGGGACGCTGTCCCCATCCCCACCCTTACCTCCAACAAGGACACAGGGCTTCATGGTTCCCTGCCCTCGCTGGCTGGTGGGAGGCGGGACAGCCCCGACGGCCTGGCCCCAGCCCCTGCTGGAGTTTCCTTTACTCTCATCATGGTCTTTCAGTTTCCATGGCTTTGATGAGGAGACCGAGGTGTGGGGCCAATGTATTTATTACAACCACAAACTTCCGCCTGGGGATGGAACCTCTCACTAAGTTTAGCCTCACAGGATCATTCCTGGGAGGGGCCTCCCAGGCTTGAGGTGAAGGAAAGAGGGGAAGAGGGAGGGTGGGGAAGGTGGACGGGGAGGAGTAGGAGGGGTACGGAAAAAGAGGGAGGGGAGGGAAGGACGGAGGGGAAGAAGGAGGCAGAAGCAGAGAGCACCCTGCAGGCGCACAGGCTGCTGCTGAAGGACACCCTGGCCGGGTTTCTGAGCTCGTGTGTCAGCGCAGGAAGCCCCTAGCTCAGGCCACTAACCTACTTTTCAGCTTCTCAGTTTAGCTACTTGATTTCCGCTTTTACCTCCTGGGCTCCAGTATCTACAGATTTAACCGACCCCTCCACCCCAATAACTCAAGCCCTGAATTTTGTCATCCACACCTTCCCCTCAGCCCCTGGGCAGGAAACCCTCCCCTCTTCTTTTCATCTCTTGTCAAAACTTAGAGACAGTAGAAGTAAAAATGATGATAAAGTCATTTATTAATTTCCTATCATGATGCTGCGCCCCTCTTGCTCCGTTTCACTGTAGTCAAACCCTGAGACGCATCCTGTCAGAGAAGCAGAGCGGTTCTTATGCCAGAGCTGGACCACCTGGTTCACATCCTCGCTATGCCATTTGCCAGCTGGGTCATCTTGAAATTCGTCCTTCCTTGGCTTCTCTGGGCCTCAGTTTCCTCATTTGTAAAATAGGGTGAATAGTGGCCTCTACATTACCCTGGTTATTGTGAGATGAAAGGACTATAGCCTTTAAATATTCCTCCAGAGGCTGGCCCACAAGGAGCCCTTTAGTGCTTAGAAGGGACTGGACTCTTTTGTAAGCATAGTTGTAATCACAGGCACATTTAAATTTCGGATTCTTTTCAGCTATTACATCAAAGATGACCTTTCATCTATAGGACATGCCTAGCCACTGAGTGTGTTTTTAAAACGGGAATCAATAACCAATTCTTAAGCATTACAAAACTTGGCACATGGACAAATCCAGATTTCTGGATTTTCTCGGAAAGTTGAAAGCTGTGACAACAACCCAGGTTGGGATGTGCCGTGGCTGTCCCTTTTGGAGAGGGTAGGAGGTCACCAGCTCGCTGCAGTCCCCACCCCTTCTGCTTGTCCCATACGCAGAGGCTGAATGGCAGTTGTCTTTCCTCGCCATGCCATGCTGTTGTTTTTCTTACAGAAATAATGATCATTAATTATAGGTTGTGCTTCCAATGTTCTCACTGGGCGCCAGACACTGTGCTAAGTGCATTAATTCACAGTAACTCACTTCATTCTCATAATGACCCTATTATGATACCCATTTTATGGATGAAGAAGTCCAGGCGCAAAGAGGTTAAGTCACTTCTCCATGAAAGGTGAGACAAGAGATGACAATGAGTTTCAAAAGAAATGAGAGTTCATAGTTGGTTTAGTTTCCTATGGCTGCTGTAACAAATTCCCACCAACTTAGTAACTTGAAACAATACTAATTTATTATCTTATGGTTCTGGAGAAATCAGACAGGAGTCCTACGAGACTAAAATTAAGGTGTCGGCAGGAAGGATTTAACCCAAATCTTCTTCCTGGGCCTACCTCTGTGGGAGCCCAAACTGACACATGTGTAGGCCACATGAATCTGAACTCACCACGAAGGCAAATAATTTAATCTCCTTTTCGTTCCTAATGCAACTTAATTTATGCAAAGGTCCCTCTACACCAGGATGCTCAGAACTTCACGTCCATCAGCTGGGAATCACCCCTCCCCACACGCTCCTTTTCCCAAGACTGTCCAACTCCAGGCAGCTCCAGGGAAGCCCAGGCATTAAGAGTGAGGGAGGGGTCATTCTGATTCCCAAGTTTGTGCCGAGTGTCAATGTGCTTCCAAGCCATCAGCCCCCCAGTTTTGTACTTGTGACCTGTCAAGAACGATGCAGTCTCTGCTATTCCTGGCCTGGCTTATTTTTGGTGATGAGGCTAATTTTTGGCCAGGAAACTCTCTGAGGCCACCTGTAGCTTCAACTGCCTAGAGACACCATGAAGTCATTTCCTCTGGGGACCTGCAGCACCTCTGAGCTCCTCAGAGGAGCCCCCTGCTCCCTGAGCACTTCTCTGGGAGAACTTTGCATGTTTCCAGGGTTCTTTTTTTCAAAGCAGGGCCCAGGCACTTCCTCCCCAGTATGGGTGCTAAATTGGGTCCCCCTAAAATTCATGTGTTGAAACGCTAAGCCCCAACATCTCAGAATGTGACTGTATTTGGAAAGTCCTCTAAAGAGAAAATTAAGATATAACGAGGTCATTAGAGGTGGCCCTAATCCAATATGACTGATGTCTGTAGAAAAAGAGATCAGGTCACAGACACACACAGAGGGAAGACCATGTGGGGACACAGAGAAAGGACAGCCATCGACAAGCCAAGGCTTTAGACGGGACCAGCGCTGATCCCAGCTTGATCCCAGACTTCCGGCCTCCAGAACTGGAGAGACCACGTTTCCGTTGTTTAAGTCCCTCAGGCTGTGCTGTTGTACTGTGGCAGCCCGAGCCCACTCATACCACACTTCTCCTCCTTCCACCAGTCCTAGCTGCTCTTGTTCTTGACTGGGAGGGTAGGGAGAGACACTGGAGGTGGGACCCTTGTAAGCGAAAGAGAGCAGCAGA